ACCTCCAGAGAGTGATTCCCTGGCCAGACAAAGTGATGGTGCCAAGGCGCTTATTGGAAGTTCAGCAGAACTTGCATCCAAGCAAACTGTCCTGATGGGGGAGTTTTCCTGCATTACAGATCTGCTGTCTGAGCCAGATGCCTTCCTGGAGGAGCAAATAGCTGACATATCGCTTACAAATAATCTTATGGACCCTTCACAGAGTCTTGAATCTTCATCTGTGACCTCTTCTGCAGCTTTGCCTGTCAGCTCCAAGCTTACAGATATACCAGTTTACAAGAGCTTAAGTAATGAGGGCAACAGAATGCCAGAGAAGTCCTCTGTTTGGCTGGAAAGGTCCCTGATATTTAAAGGAAAGACTGCAGAGGAAATACCTGGGGAAAGAAACCAAGTTGAGTCAAGTTCTCAAAGCTCACCTTCACAGCAGCCTGGTACGTGGTAGGCTGGGAGAGGACCTGTTTGTGTGTTTGGAGATAAGTGCCAAAAATCCATGCAGCAAGTGCTTATACTTTTCTTCCCCTCCTCTCTTTTTCAAAGATCCGTGTCCCATACATGATTTATGCTTCCACCTGTGCTAGCCAGTAATTTCTGTGGCTGCATTTGCTTCTAGTTTATTAGCATTCCTGTAAGAATTTCTGGTCACTAGTTCATGTGTGGATATTGGGAAAAGACTAGGAGCATGTGCTGCCAGTGTTGCTTTACCATTCTTGTTATCTACAGGGCATGCCCGTCAATTTAGAAAATCAATTACTCAAGCAGTTGAAAAATACAATTTGATGCTGACCCTGCCTAATAGAGTCAGTATTATTGGGGCACAGAATATGTTGAAGATGCAGGTTTTTGGTCCAGAATGGTCAGTCCTACAAGTTTTCAGACTTCATACCTCTAGGTGGAATTTTCAATGGAAATTGATCAGGAGATACCTAAATTCTCTTGGTTGTGTTTTTTGGGACAAAAATGGCCTCCTGAGTGTAGAGGGAACATGAATTGATTTAGGATTGTGCAATGTTCAGAGAAACCTGGTAATGGAGCCCTTCTCTGTTTGGCAGCTGTATTTCTTAGGACACCCAGAAATAATATGGCAACACTTTGATCAATTCATGTGTGAATGTCTCCCTTTGCAGAGACGAGGCCACTACAGGATGTGACCAATGCCAGGACTCTGTCTTCCTCCAGCTCAGAAGAAGTGTCAGGGCGCTCATCCAGGCGGAGACGAGCCCCAGCCTGCTATGCAGAACCAAAAATCAACAGGTTGGGCTTTAAACTATTCCTTTCCATGACTGTTCCCATGCTGCAACTCCTGCTCTGCTGTCATGTGCTCACTCTCCAGGGCTAGACCCTCTGTCACTTTGTTGGTCTTTAAGTTCCTCTTGAAGTTCATGTTTCTGTGATCCTCTTCTACCACAGTGTGGTTAAGCCAAAATTCTGCACGCGTGTGCAGGCTTCTGTTAACAAGCTAACAAGGATGTTATTTCCCTCCCTGAAACGAGCCCATCTCTGAGCAGACTGCATCTATGGTATGCCACTGCCAATGAGGGATTAGTGTGAGGATGAAATACAGGCTAAACAAAAGACAGCCAAGTGAAAGTCTTGATTTCACTTGCTGCCATTCTGTGATATCTAAAGTCTTACCCAACAACTAAGTAATAATTCCATCTTAATTGTGTCTCAGTGAAGGAAATGCTAGGTTTTGAGGAGGGTTCTCCCCTTAGGCTGTACCTATATTTATTTTTTCTGGCAGATACAAGTACCTAAACAAGTAGCTGCATCTTTTTCCTAAGAAACTCTAGATTCAGTACATCCAATGGCTACTGTACAGAACCATTTAAGTCCTAAAATGATGACTTTGTGGTTATGCTACTCGGTAGTACTGTTTTTTCCCTGAAAAGTGATACAGTTTGAACATTCTGTGAGGAGCTGGTTGTACTGGGTCAGAAGGTACTCTGTACTAGTACAGCTGTTCCTGTTCTGGACAAAAAACAAACTCTACCACTCAGTCATCCTACAGTGGAAGCATTTCAGTGTAGTCAGAATTTTAGAGACTGAAATCATACATGTATTCAAGAAATACCTTGATGTATTAAATCTAACCTTTTTGGTTCTGCAGTAAACTGAGGCGGGGTGACCCATTTACAAACACAGAGTTCCTCCATTCTCCTCTCTACAAAACCAAAAAAAAGAAAACTGTCAAAGCCAAGGATATTACCAAGAAGATCAAAGAGGAAAAATTATTTCCTGAAGGATGTCCCAGTGCCAAGGCAGGCACGCTAGTAACAATAAGAGACACGGAGCCAGAAGTAAAATAATTGTTGAACAGCACCCCCCTGCCCCACGCTAGAATTCTCTCATGTTTTGCATAGCTTACTTTTTGTTTTAATTTTAAACTATCAATAAAGTCTTCTATGTGGGCAGTATAAAAGCTTTGTGATATTTATTCCACACCCTCCCCCCATCCACCTTTGAATGCTGGAGTGCTTGTCTGCAAAGTCTTTAAGCACAAGTACTTGTGGCACTGCAGGCAGGTAGTTGGCTCTGCCAGTTCTCTCCTGGCCCTGCACAAGCCTGGGAAGAGTACACCTTGGAAGGCTGATCTTCTGGCATTGCAGATACCCACAAGGGCTCTGAAAGGGTTGCAGCAGCCCAGGCTTTGACAGGAAATAGAAGAGGCATACTGACATACTACCTACCATTACTTCCTGTAAGAGGTGGTTTCTGTACAGGTGGAGCATCCCCCTGGGAAGTAACATTTAGGGTTGATTACTGAAGCCTTGGCCAGCCCCAAAAGTCACAGCTCTCTGCTATTCTGGAAGGGAGCCCTGTCAGAATAACTGATATGTCCCCTCCCACAGTATTTTCTGTCAGTGGGGATTTGCGTAACTATGGAGTTGAAAATGGAGCCTTCCACTATTCCTGAGCGTGCAATACCTAGGACACAGATGCACACATCTAACTACATCAGTGTCAGCATTAAAGGTAAGTTAGGCCATACTTTGATCAAAGACAACTTTTACTGGGGTCTGCTGATGGGAGTGCTGGTGCAAAGGGCTATTGCTGCTGCTGGAAGCTACAAGGGCCCTTGCCCAGGAGCTCTGTGAAGCAGCTGGTATGCTGTGAAGCAGACAGTTGTGTTTCAGGAAATCCTGTGCTCTTTTCCATTGCAGACTGAGTTCCCACGGGCCTCTAGTACTGGCTTTTTTAGGGTCTACTGGTGTCTAACTGGTCTACTAACTTTGAAGGTTACTGATACTAAATGTTTGAGGGAGTGGTGGGGAAAAGAAATCATTGTATGAGTAGTAAAGGGGAAGGGAACGTGCCTCCTTGGAAGAAGGAAAAGTTTCCAGGGAGAGGGATGCTCTGTTCTTCTAAGTTACTGCTGCTTCTCCCAACATAGAGACAAGTGTTCCTTTCTCTCCTTAGCACTTTAGCAATATCCATCATTTCATGAGGATAGATTGGATCTTGCTGTACTCTGCAGAATCCTCCAGAAGATGGAAACTTTGTTAGTAGAGAGGGAAAATAGTGTCAAATGCAGTCAGGTATAAATGCTGCTACATGGCTTACACTTAAGCTATACTATTAAGTCATTAAAACAAACAAAAAGTGTAAGATTTAAAAACACCCACTTACTTGTTCAGTTTCCTGAAAGGTACTAAGCTTTCCCTGGTGCTCTATAACTCTGGAAGCCAGGTAGGAGCTAGTAAATAACAAGGAATTTGTTAAAAGGTGCCGCTGCAGTATGACCTGCCTGACTGTGGCACAGTAATTTGAACTACTGATGTCAGAAGCCAGGCAGGAACATAGATCTCAATGATTGTTTCTGTTGCTTCTATGGGTCAGCAATGGTATTTTTTCCAGCTGCACTTCTTACATGCTTGTGTTAATAACAGAATAGCAGACTACTGTGTTTGTTCACATTGAATGCACAGGGACAGCTGCTAGCAGTTGTAGAGCTGCATTTCCAACACATGCTCATCCCAAAACAAATGTTAATACTAGTTGATCTAGTCTAACATTGCATTTCTATCCTAACCAACATTACAGCTAGTCAGCTGTAGTGACAGTATCTCATGCATAGCCAGTTTCTGACCTTTGTGGAGTGGTGGTGTATCAGTTTGAGTTTATACTAGTCCCAAAATGAAATTTCAATGGAAAGGGTAGTTTTAAATTCTTAGAATCACAGAAGCATGGGAGTTGGAAAAGACCTCTAAGATCATCAAGTCCAACTGTGCCTACCACCATGCTACAGATCACCTATTGCTATGCACCAGAACAAATTAAAACTCTAAGAAGGAAGAGATTTTGTGTTTATATCACACCCTATAAGTTTGTCCCAGCATGTACTGGACTGTGCTTAAAGGTACTGGAATCTCTCTCAGAGGCAGAATTTCCCCTTATCTGCTAATCACACAAAGGAGGGAGAGACACAAAGAATGTTAGTTGGCTTTTATTTTAGTCTGAACTAAAATATTCTTTAAAAAAACCCCAAACACAAAACCACACATGGAATAGTTTTTCACAGTCATGATCTGACTTGCTGTATCACAACAGGCAGGGTAAGTAATAGCCCAGACAACTGGAGAAAAGTTTTGCACCTTTATCAATTGTGGGGTGGGGGAAGAGGTAACAGTTCCTATGCTTCACATCCAGTCAGAAGGAGTATAACTAAATGCATGGCCTGCATTTAGACACCGCAGCATGGCTTTATTAGGCTCTTAGCCTATAGGGTTTGTTTCCAGCATTTACTAAGTGCTTCTTCTCAAATACTACAGTCCCGACTGTAGCAATGGGCCCAAATCCCTTCATATCAGGATACTATGCTCTGGTTGGCACTAAAAGTTAAATTAAGTAAGAGAGGGGCTGCAGTAGTGCTGGCATAGCCCTGTGAGCTCACTTATACTCACTGGATAGTACTAGAGAGATGAGGACGGTTCTGATTTCTAAGGTCTGTTGGACAGTAAGTCACCACTGGTTTGACCAGAGCTGTGACACAGACTTGCTTTCAGTCTGAGAGGAAGAGAGAAAAGAAACACAGATCACAAAGTCATGGACAGAAACCTCAGGTCTGCTGTGAGTTACATTAGGAATGCAGATCCACATTGAGCTTGAATACTATCACATTCAGCTGCTTGGCAAAAGTAAGGCTTAGCCCAGCAGCTCAAGGGGTTTAAGAAAACCATGGTCTTTTAAAAAAAGTGTACATGTTCCTTTTTGTCTAGTATTTAAAATGTTACACAGAGTGTGATACAGTGCCACTTATACTCTGGTGTAAGTGGGAGACGCTTTGTTAGTGAAGCTTGAGTAGAACCTGTGCCTTAAAGTTTAGGTAGAGAGGCCAGCTTCCCCTTCAAGTTTTCAGCAAGCTTGTCCATGAACTCAAAGGTGTTCAGGTAGTCAGAGCGTGTGACACTAAGGGGGGAAAACAAAACAAGACAGACATTAGTTGTAAAGCCACTCAAACAAAGCAGGGGAAGACTTTTAAAGAACTAAAACCAAAAGAGTTCCCCTACTCATCAGGCTGATGTTTTTTGCCAAAAGGCTGCAGGAAAGAGGTAGCCAGGTGGTATTCTGCAGTGAACTAGGTCTCTATCCTAATAAGTGGACAGGGCAGGATTTGGCCAACATAGCCAGCCTGTCATTAAGATAAATCTTTGCAGTTCCTTTATTTTTTTTCCCCCATTCATTTGGTACAATAGCAGGGCCAGAGCAACCTAGACTAAGCTAAATGGGGCAGGAAGTGTCTCACATTCTGTTTGTACAGCACCAGGTACAAACGAACCCTGTTCTGTGGTGAGACTCCAGCAATTCTTCACTATACTAGAGTAACTTTCCAGCAAACACTGTTCAGAAACACCTAGCAAACCAGACTCCTCCAAGCACAGCTTATTACTTCATACACTTACTTAGGTAGGCCTTTGATACAAGCAGCAAGGTCCTTTGTCATGAAGCCAGATTCGATGGTTTCAATGCAGACTTCTTCCAGGGCAACTGCAAAGTTCTTGAGGCTAGTGTTGTTGTCCAGCTTAGCTCTGTGAGCTAGTCCTCTTGTCCATGCAAAGATGGAGGCTGAGAGAGAATACCAGATTACTATCCTCCTAGAACTCCCTGGACATTGTTCTAAATGGTCACGTGGAACAGTAATTATTTTTAAATATTAATAAAACTGAAAACAGACAGAAAAAAGACAGAAAATCTGGTATGGGAAATAACTTACCTTCATCTAGGCATCTTTTGCATTTTGTGCAGCTCTGAAGAAAAGTAAACCCCATAAACTACTCCCTGCCTCCAGCAATCTCTGTGTGTGCCATTTTATCTTATTTCGTTCCTGCCCAAATCAGAAAGAATGGCTGGTGGTAGGATGTAGTATGTATGTGGTTTGGGGGGTGGCTGGGTCTTTGGAGCATCAGGAAGGGGAGTAAAACAGAAACCAGCCAACCTAAATCTTAAGGCCATTCTGGCTATAAACACAGTGTTTGCTGCAGAGCGAGAGCATGTCTCAAAGGCTAGGTTAGGTCTAGCTTATTGCTTACACTCGCTCCTTTCCAGCCTGTTGTTTTTGCTCCAGGCTGCACTGTCTCCATGGAAGAAAAATGCATTCTGAACTACCAGTTTCACCAGTCAGTGGTGCAATTCTCTGCAAAAAGGATGCAGATGTTCCTACTCCAAACCTGTTCTTTCATGTGTAGAGATCACTGAAGGGCAGCGAAAAGCAGCTCACCAATGGGGTTAGTGGAGGTTTCTTGGCCTTTCTGGTGCATGCGGTAGTGACGAGTAACCGTTCCATGAGCGGCTTCTGCTTCGACAGTCTTGCCATCAGGGCAGATCAGCACACTGGTCATCATCCCCAGAGAGCCATAGCCTACAGAATACACAGTTTAAAAAGTTCAGTGTCTCCTCTGAACAGACCCCTTAAGTTCCCCTTAATCCTCCCATCCTACAATCCCTCTACATCTTCCCAGCCTTGATGTGAGTATCCCTGAACAGCAGCAGTGCTGCTGCAACTAACTGGCTAGTCCTGGCACA